TCTGTGTGGACTGACTGTATACAGATTATTTTTCTTTGTTGACTGACAATACAAATTACAGATTATTTTTCTGTGTGGACTGACTGTATACAGATTACAGATTATATTTCTGTGTGGACTGACTGTATACAGATTATACTTCTGTGTGGACTGACTGTATACAGATTATTTTTCTGTGTTGACTGACTGTATACAGATTATACTTCTGTGTGGACTGAGTGTATACAGATTACAGATTATACTTCTGTGTGGACTGAGTGTATACAGAATACAGATTATAATTCTGTGTGGACTGACTGTATACAGATTATACTTTTGTGTGTACTGACTGTATACACATTACAGATTATACTTCTGTCTGGACTGACTGTACACAGATTACAGATTATACTTGTGTGGACTGACTGTACACAGATTACAGATTATACTTCTGTGTGGACTGATTGTATACAGATTACAGATTATACTTCTGTGTGGACTGACTGTATACAGATTACACTTCTGTGTGGACTGACTGCATACAGATTACAGATTACACTTCTGTGTGGATTGACTGTACACAGATTACAGATTATACTTCTGTGTGGACTGATTGTATACAGATTACAGATTATACTTCTGTGTGGACTGACTGCATACAGATTACAGATTACACTTCTGTGTGGACTGACTGTATACAGATTACAGATTACACTTCTGTGTGGACTGACTGTATTGCCCAGTGCTGGTCTGGTAAATAGAGTTTGGCACCGGCACAGAGGGGCTGCTGGAAGCCGGCACCTCATCCTCTGGATTTTCTTCCTCAATTTTCGGCACGGCCGATGAATTGGACGAAAGCTCGTTAAAGATTTTCCTGGAGGAAAACAGAACGTTATCAGACTTCACACAGCACACGCTGTAATCTCACTTCCTGTTCTACTCACCGATAAGACGGACGCCTGGAGAGAATCTCCCGCCTCATCTGTGTGTCTGAAACGGGCTCGTCCTGGTCCAGCGCGGCCACGGTGGCGATCTGAACAAACAGGCAGGTTCTTTAACGTGTTGAGCAACAGCTTTTCTGTTTAATGTCATTATTGTGGGGGTTGTTGTCTCCACACAGAAGTCTCTTTGTGGTGCGTGCTTGGAAAGAAGGATGACGTCAAACAGGGAATTTAAGCAGGATATAATTTTCTACTTTAATCTTTTCAACCCATTACAGTCTCCACAGATTTATTCAATACTGTATAATCATCTGCACATGCTTCTTTAAACATCATCGTATTGTAGAAAGAACATATGCGGTAATATGTAGTCCTTAGTTTGTTTTATTGGATTAAAATAAATATACCTTGTAGATTTTGTTGTGTGTCGTCATTCTTTTACTTTTATGACTCACACTGATGCGCAACAGTCGTGTGTTCCAAACGTACAGTTGTTTTGGCACCACTGGAGGAGGACCTGTACCGCATGAAGAGGCACTGCAAGTTTGTGAACCCTTTAGATTTTTCCATATTTCTGCATAAATATGAACTCAAACATCAACAAGTAGATAAAGAGAACGCAGTTAAACAAAAGAGACAAAAATATTATACTTGGTCATTTATTTATTGAGGAAAATGATCCAGTATTACATATTTGTAGGCGGTAAAAGTATGTGAACCTCAAGGATTTACAGTTAAATTGAAGGTGAAATTAGAGTCAGGTGTTTTCAATCAGTGGGACGATGATCAGGTGTGAGTGGGCACCCCGTTTGATTTAAAGAACAGGGGTCCATCGTCTGATCTTCACAACATGTTTGTGGAAGTGGATCATGGAGGAACAAAGGAGATTTCTGAGGAGCTCGGTAAAAGAGTTGTTGATGCTCATCAGGCTGGAAAAGGTTACAGAACATCTGTAAAGAGTTTGGACTCCACCAATCCACATCACACAGATTGTGTACAAACGGAGGACATTCAAGAGCATCGCTGCCCTCCCCAGGAGTGGTGGACCAGCAAAGATCACTCCAAGAGCAAGGCGTGGAACAGTCGGCGAGGTCACAAAGGACTGTCATTTCTAACCCGAACCCCGGCCCCGCCCGACCCGGATTTGGACTGGCTCGGGCCATTATAATGCGCAGGCCGGGTCGGGCTTATGATTGCGTCAGCGGACGTGCGCGGCTGACGACCCAATTATATGGCAACATGGCTTGCCATACTATCAGCCATTTGACCGTGCACTGATCGGCCTTGAAAGAGGTAAAAAGTTGAGTTGAGCTTCAGATGGACTTCTGCAGGGACCCATCGCCCAAATGGACGTTCATTCAGCCGCTGCACTCAGCGGACACGCGCGGCCAACGACCCAAACAGGTGAGATCACAAAACATCCAACATGTCAGAGCAGGGTCCGTGTTTGAATACAGGCAGAAGCAGCTCTGACCTGTAGTTACTGTTAATTCGTTGGGTCGGTTGGGGTTTGGAAATGATGGCTACGGGCTGGGGCCGGATTTTTTGGGCCCGAATGCAACTCTACACAGCACCCCAGGGTAACCTGTGTGGACGAATGAAACTAAAATAGAGCTGTTTGGTTTAAATGTTTGGACAAAGGAAAAAAATGCATTCCTGCAGAGGAGCCTTATCCCATCTGTGAAACATGGTGGTGGTAGTATCATGGTTTGGGCCTGTTTTGCTGAATCTGGGCCAGGACGGCTACGGAGGAATGGGCTAAAACTCCTCCAAGCTGAGACTGATCAACAGTTACTGGAAACTATTAGTTGCAGTTATTGCTGCACGGGGTGGGGGGTGGGGGGGTCACACCAGATACTGCAAGCAAAGGTTCACTTATTGTTTCCACTCACAAATATATAATATCGGATCATTTTCCTCAATAAATAAAAAAGCAAGTATAATGTTTTTGTCTCATTTGTTTAACTGGGTTCTCTTCATCCACTTTTAGGACTTGTGTGAAAAAAAGATGATGTTTTAGTTCATGTTTATGCAGAAATATGAAAAATTTTAAGGAGTTAAACTTTAAAACACCACTGTACATTCATGTTTTCATATCAGTGTAGATGCTATACATCTACTTAAAACATTTACGCTCTGAAATAAAAATAAAATAAAATAAAAACCCTTCAGCTGCTGTGTGCGAAGTTTCGGTGTAGTTTTTTATCATTTATATTTTTTTAATTCATTTTAACAACCTAAAACAGATAAGTTCGTACCTTTTTGTCAGATGAAAGAAAAACCCATACAAAAACCGCACGAGCCTTGAACACGAGTAGTAACAGGTGCTTTGGAATGAGGCAGAAAGCCACTTTGTGTTTACGTGTCGTCACTTCGCAGGTCAGATAAAATCTTTTCCTGCTGAAAATCTGTTATGAGACAAATCGCCTCCACTTTGCAGTTAATGTTGCAAATGTGCTGATTCTGCTTCCTGTTTCATTTCCCTTCTCCAAACTGCTCCAGCACTAAAAAGACTGAAACTCCTGCACGTCTAGAAGTTAAAAGTCCTTTCAGCCAGAATAACCCAGCTTCACCTCCGACTGTTAACATCTGCGCTATCTCCAGCTTCTGGAGCACACGACAACATTTACAGATCACGAAGGTCAGACTGACGAGGCGCCGCGGCTCACCGCTAAATGTTCGTCCACAAGAACACATTACGACCTGCATTAACGTACAAAATATAACGTAACATTGATCGTTTTAACTTTTTTTTTTTTTTTTTTGTGGGGACGCTGAAACACGAAAACGGCAAAATCCAAATGTTCCATCGGGACTTAATGGGTTTTAGCGATTTCTCTGCCCAGTTTTTTTTTTAAACACTGACTCTGTGAAAATATGAAACTAATAAAAAAGCAGAGAAACGGACTAATCAGAGGGTGCTAATGGCTAGTTAGCCTGTTAGCTGCTTTATTAATCTAACTTAGGGTCACACAGTGTTATCTTTATTTAAATCCACCATAAAAAGAAACTAACACTTTTTTAAAGCAAGTCGCCAAAAAATTAACTAAATTCAACTTTACACTAATTAATATAAAATACGAGACTGATATAATAAAAAATAAACAAGTCATTGGTAAAAATTTGACTTAAAGGCTGCCCAAACCAACGTCTTTGTCTTTATTACAAGACAAACAATTACAATAAACATTTAACCAGCTGATCTCAGTTTTATGCTCACTAATAGTTTATCAGGATATAATCTTAATTATGTCAAAATGAGATAATAATTTCCACAACGGGACTCGTTTTTCTATTTATCAAAAACAGTTTGGTCTCTACTTACTTTTTGTTACCGTTAAACTATAAATCAGTTTATTATAAATCTTTATGTCATAATGTCACAGTAGCTTTTATATGTGGTATTTATTTACCGGTCCGGTAGTTATAAACGTGGCCTTTTATATTATGAAAGGTTGCAGACCCCCGTCAGGATAAAAGCAGCTTTCCTTCAGCAGTTACTGCACCAGTTCCTGTTCCAAGTTACTAGTTTAACCCCTTTTTACTTCATTTATAATAATAATAATAATTTTATTTAAGAAGCGCCTTTCAGGACACCAAAGGACACTTTACAGCAAGAAACATATCAGATAAGATTGCGTAAAAACAAACACCGTACAAAGACCAACAGCAATAAATTGAAATATAAAATACATAAAACAACGTTAAGAAGAATGGGCGAGTCTAAAGAGATGTGTTTTCAGAGCAGTCTTGAACAGAGAAAGAGAGATGGTGTTTCGTAGGTCTGGTGGTAGAGAGTTCAGAAGTGAGGGGCAGAGCAGGTGAAGGACCTGCTCCCCATGGTGGAGAGGCGGGCAGAAGGTACATGGAGGTGTAGTGAAGAGGAGGATCTGAGAGCGAGAGGGGATGGAGATGTGTAGGAGGTCAGATAGGTACGGAGGGGCAAGACTGTGGATAGCTTTGAAAGTGAGAAGAAGAATTTTGAAGACGATGTGTGATTTAACCGGGAGCCAGTGGAGCTGCTGCAAGACTGGAGCGATGTGGTTATAGGAGGAGGTTTGAGTGATGACACGGGCAGCTGAGTTCTGGACCTTCTGTAGCTTTTGGAGAGATTTGTTGGGGAGGCCATAAAGAAGGGAGTTGCAGTAGTCAACCCGGGAAGTCACAAGACTGTGCACAAGGATGGCTGTGGAGCGGGGTGTGAGAGAAGGACGGAGACGGTTGATATTTCGGAGAAGGAAACAGACCGAGTAGCATTGTTGATGTGTGAAGTGAAGGAGAGAGTGGTGTCGAGGATGACACCGAGACCCTTGACCTGAGGCGAGGGGGACAGCAGAGAGTTGTTAAGGGGGACATTCTGACGTTCCGACTTTGAAATAGAGTTTTTGGTACCGACAAGGATAATTTCTGTTTTGTCACCGTTTAGTTGAAGAAAATTATTAGAAAACCGGTGATTGAGCTCACCGAGACATTCGGTGAGTATGGAGGGAGTGGAGTTTGGTTTTGCTGACAAGTAAAGCTGTGTGTCATCAGCATAACAGTGGAAATGGACACTAAATTTGCAGAAGATGTGACCTAGAGGAAGGAGGTAAATGATGAAGAGGAGGGGTCCGAGGACAGAGCCTTGTGGCACACCCGTGGAGACGGGGGAAGACTGAGAACAGAAGGATTTAAGCTGAATAAATTGAATGTGGCCAGAGAGAGAAGATTTGAACCAGTCTAACGGAGTACCTGAGATGCCACTGGAGGTTAGTCTGTTGAGGAGGATAGAATGACAGATGGTGTCGAAGGCAGAACTTAGGTGAAGTAGAATGAGGATGGACAGAAGACCAGAGTTGGCAACAAGAAGAAGGTCATTAGTAATTTTTATTAGAGCTGTTTCGGTGCTATGGTGGGGGCGAAAACCAGATTGAAACTCTTCATAAACGTTATTGTTGGATAGGTGAGAGTGAAGTTGACTAGCAACGACAGGGGCCGAGATGGTGTAGGGGCGGGGCAACTGACTCGGGACACGAAGGTCCTGGGTTTGACCCCCGATCATCGCACATCTCGTGGTGTCTCTGAGCAGGACACCCAATCCTACATTGCTCCCCAGGCAGCTTACATAGCTGCCCACTGCTACACCTGGGTTTATCTCGGGTGCGATGGGTAAAATGCAGAGAGCAATTTTGTCTTTGTATGGGAACATACAATGATGACAACACATAGCACTTTATTATTTATTTCAAGAACCTTGGACATAAAGGGCAGATTAGAGATTGGATTAAGATTACTAGAATAAGTTTAACGTTCACAAACACAACCTAAAAACTCTTTTTGTCCCCTTTTATCAGCAGCATGTGCTTCAGGTGCAACCTGCTTCCTGTCGGCTACCAGTGAGGACTTATTGGAAATGTGGGCCTCAGCGTCCTGATAAGGGCATTTCAAATAAAACAGGACAGGGAATCAGCCCGGCAGCCTTCCGGTGGGAAAACCAACCACTCTACGTTGATCCACATTAACTAACGGCAGAACAGCTGCTTAGATCAAACTCTTTGATGAATGTCAGTGGATCTATTGAAAACAGCCAACAATGATTTTAACTCTAGATTAACGGCCGAGCCTGGAGGTTTGTACACTTTAATATCGATAAATAAATGATTAGGCACGAGTTTATTCTAGTTTCTTTTTGTACGGGATGCGTTTTTAATAACTTCAGCGCTCGTTTGAAAGTGGAAGGCTGTGATTTACAGAACCAAGGTGGAGCTGAACCAACAAAAGGACTCGTTTTGACTTTAAAACCTGAACCAGTCAAACACTTGACGGCCTCAGCTTGAAGAAGTGGGACTTGTGTAAAAAGGTGTGGGCCCACCTGAACAGTCTGGACCTGTGGTGACTGGATAACGGAGGTCTGCGGGGCCTGGATGACCCTTTGGACCGAAGCAGTCTGCTCTTCAGACAGCCGGACGACAGCCGAAGGATCTCCGTCTATCAAAACCTGCAGCCACAAACCAAAAAGACTCGGAGAATATTCACAAAAGGGCGCCATTTAAAAAAAGAAGCTAATTATACATCAGCTATTATCTGGTAAGTCCGGGGACATTTAGAGGAAGACATGTAGCATTCCTGAAGCTGCGAGAAGAACAGCGAGTACCTGAGTGGAGGCTGCAGGAGACGGGCTGGCATCACTGAGATTCTCTTCTCCATCTGTCATGGAGTCATTTAAGCTGCTCTCCAGCTGAGATGATACCGACGTATCCATGACCACGCACGGTTATTATCACAGACGCTGGAAGTGACATCGCACAAAAACAGACAAATATCACCAAACTGGCACGTATCAGATCGTCTGTGTGGTTGGACCAACACGGCTAACAAGATGAAGAGGTTTTCTCCACCGTACATCCGTAATTGTTCATTTTTAAAACAGGAACAAAAGAATAATCTTAAATTATTGTGGGGAAAAGACGCAGAACTAATAACGACAACTTGTCGTCGTGTCAGAAGACGACGTCGTTTAAAAGAGACAAAACGGAGGCACTTCGGTGTTGGACAGAGTCTCGTTTCATTCTGGTTTGTGTGTGAACGGAACGGATTTCCAGTCTGAGTCAAAAGCAGTTTGTGACGACGACTCTCAGCTACTACCACACCGAATTTCAGCTCAATGTCCATAAAGATGACGGAGTTATGTGTTGGCTAATAGTGATCAGCTGTGGCAGCTATTTTTAATTGGATTGACTCTTAAACTGCGTTGCCAGATTGGGCGGTTTTCATTCTGATTTTGCAGGTAAAAATGACTTTGGGCGGATTTGGAGTCAGATCTGCGGTTTTTGAGTTAACCTATTAAACACACTTCAAACAATCATTCATCATTACTGGGTCAAAGCTCCCCTGACCTTTCTCCATCACTGATTGGCTATTGTCATCAGCCGGGGCGTTCACAACAGAGAACTGGTGAGACCGTTAGTGGACGCCTCGTTGAGCGGGCTGACCCGTTAGCGCTACGTCGGAGCATCCTCCATATTGGATGGGGAAGATCTGCCGGTCAACTAATACAAGGAAATGGAGTGAACTTCATAAAGCACCGTTCTACAAAGTGTTTTAAGTTCACGCCTGTCATTCACACACTGACATGTTTGGAAAACCGGCACCAAAGACAACATTTATAACTTTTAATGTGATTATTAAAAATGTTCAGGTTAGGTTAAAGGTAAGCACTAAGCCAACATATGTATTTTTTTTGAGTGTTTGCAACTACTAATGTGTGTAACACTATTACTGTGGTGATAAATATAGAAATATTTATATTGAACATTTAATCTGGGTCTAGAATAACCAGCTCCTGAAACGTGACGTGCAGATTTTCTGAATCTTTACAGGAGGCGGGGGGTATTGCGTGTGTAACTATACACCGATTTAAAACGATATATCGATTAAATGATTCAATTATATCGTGGCAAAACTAAAACATCGATTCATATCGTCATCTTTAAAATACGCTTTTATTTTGAAATTCCCAAGGCACGTCTGCGTCACCATTTCCGTGCGCCGCTGCGCTCGGCGCCGCCTCAGCAACACGGAAGACGAGGCAGAAAACACAGATAATGAAATTCACTCTCCTGCTGGATTTAAATCAACTGCGTGGAAATATTTTGATTCCAACAGAAGAACGGCTCAACAGACAGAAGTCATGTCGTGTGGAACAGGTGAGTTAAAATACTCGGGAATCACAATAAATTTGTCCGTTCACCTGAAGAAGAAACACGACATTGATAGCCATGTTATTAAGCTCAATATCTGTTTTTGTTTCTTTATAACTGAAAGGTCATCAGGACACTTTTAAGTTAACTGGATTAAAAAAATGCACTTAAACATAAAAAATGTGAGACTACACAGAACAGGTCATTTATTTTGATTTTTTCATTAATTAAGAAAAAAACTTTTTTTTTTATTTATTTAAATGCCTGGTGCCTGTAATAACAGAAATAAAATGGTTAAATCATATTTGAATTGTTTTTGTAAAAAGTTATTTATATGTAAATGCATTTGATATCGCAATATATTATCGCAGACTTGTGAATCGAACAGAATCGAAATCGTATCGTGACAGACTTTGTGATATCGAGAAAAATCGTATCGTCAAACAAATCGATATAATATCGTATCGCGGTAAAGCTGGTGATTTACACCCCTAGTGTGTATGTGTATAATTACCTTGGCTTGTACTGATGTGCGTTCATGTTCAAACAGTAAATATAACAATATATTGATTGGGTGGGATTTTGTGTGATGTGGCGGTTTTTAACAGATTTTCGGGCTGGAAAACCTCGACTCTATCTGGCAACACTGCGCCTAAAGTTAGTCAGTTGTAGCTTTTAAGCTTCACTAGAATTTGTTTAATGGAAAGAAATTTAAATTTAATAGCTTGTAACTGAAAGGTCAGATATTGATCAAAGAGCAGAAATGAATAGTTGAGATAAAAGCCAAAAAAATATATAATTTTCACCTCAAACATTTACAGATAAAAACCCAATTTAAACCCAAATTGGAGCAAAAAGACACAAGTCGATCCTGTAAAAACACAAACAGATGTTTGAGATCAACAGCTGTAAAGTTTTTCTGCAAACTTTGCCATATTGTAGAAATGGAAAGTTACTTTTATCTGAACAAACCACGCCTTATTAGTGAAAACACAACTGCATAGTTCAAAACTTTACACATTATCTTAAATAAAATGCGACAACTAAATATATAATATAATATAATAACAGCACTCGAGTGTTTTTCTTCAGTTTTTCACGTGTGTGGATCCAGGAAGTAAAAGCGTTTTGTTTTGCAAGAGTTGAGGTGTTTTATTTTGAAGAGGCCACTTCACTCGTTTAGATCATACGTGTAAAAATCGTGAGTTTTGACGCTGCTCCGTAAGGAAAGAAACAGAAAGCGCTGACGGCTGAGCCTCTCTCAGGACATTAATCTCTCCATGTTGCTTCCTGCTCACCAAACGGAGGAGTGATGAAAAGTTTTCGCACCGAAGCTGCACATTTCCCGCTCGCTCCGGTTCTGCCCGAACCGGCGCTGACCAGAACAATGTGACAGCTTTGCGGTGACTTACCGAAGTTTTTACGTAGTCTGACTCGTCACTAATGACAGTATGGGTGCACGGCCTGCGCCTCGCCTTCGCGCACGTAGCTCCCACGTCAGCGCTGATGATGCTGTGCCCAAAAATGTCGCCCGTAGAATCTGTTTATCGCCAAAGATTTCCTAGTTAGGACAAGAGGATACACTGCGTCCTACTTCCGGGTTCGCTCGGGTGAACGTCAAACGACAACAAATGGCTCTAATCCTCTTTTATGTTCCGTAAACTGTTAAATAAATAATATTATTACTTTCATATAACATAATGCGGCAGCATGTGCTATTTTAGAGCTTTGTGTTTTCTTCTCGACTAAAAACTCGTCTTTTAAAGCCTAATCAGAAACATAGTCGGCGGTGTAGCATCGAAAGAAAGTTAAGTAAAAAGTTATACTATATTATATTTAATGTCATGTAGCAGTTTTCAAGGTTGACAATAAACAATTAAAATGTAAGTGTCTAGTTTAAAAGGGTTTAAACAACAAAATGTTACTATATTTTTAGAATTTTTTAAGCTGTCTTACAGCTCAGACAGGGTAGTACTGCCCTCTAATGGTTATAAGTTGTAATTACAACAACAAAATTACAAAAGGTAAAACTGAACTAATTAAAAAAAATGATATAATTAGGATGAAAATGCATATAAATAATAATATTATAAATTATAGATTAGTAAGTAAAAATATGTAGAATTATTACTTCCCAAGGGTATAAACACAAACACAAAAAGTTGCCAATTTAAAAAAAAAAAAAAACAACAACAAAATTTTGATCAAACTTCATGAGTTTGTAATTTATTTTGGTTTGTACTTTGTAGTTGACAAATAAATATCATTATGAAATTTGGGAAGTATTCAGAGATAATTTGCAATGTTTTATTTTTTCTTTTGACTAAATAATTTTAAATACAATTTTGGAGTTTTGAATAGTTTAGATAAAATTATACTGTAATGGATCATAAACATGCATTTGACCATGTTTTAGATTTAAAGCAGTCTTTTTTTTCTCACAGTGCAAAGTTCAGCTGACCTCCAGTACCTTGAACATAATTTAACAATAATAATAATAATAAAAACTAAAATTAAATACTTATTAAACAGTCAAAAGTAATTTTAGATGAGAATCATACATAGAAAAGTAAAACACATAAGAAGTTTCTAGAAAAACTAAGGCTTTGAACACAAATATTAATAACTGCTAAATTAAAATCTGTAAAGTTGGATCCAACATTATATAACTTTTAGTTGTTTTGACTACTTTGTTGATAGATACTGGTACTTGTATAGATTTTGTGTATTTCTGTATACAGGTTTCAGTTTTCGAAAAAATTAAAGGACAAAAGTTGCATTCAGTTTACATATTGTTTTTCTTTATGTTAAACATTTTATGTCAATTTCAGTCACTTAGGAGTTAGAAATTTAAAAAAATCATTGTTTAGAAAAGGAATAACAATAAAAATGTTTAATTTTAGCACCAAAAACATACAGTTTAAGCTACAAAAGATCCAAAGTGCACATTTTCTGTTCATTTTAAACAACTTGGATGCAGATTCATAGCAATATTTCCCCGATGTCATAACTTAAGGGCTTTTATTCTGCTGTAAAAGTCTGGAGTGAATGTTTCACTTCAGCTCCAGCTCTGGCTGACCCCAGAGTCGCCATCTGTCCCGCTGCGAGCCGCGAGACGTGGTTCTGATCAGAAGAGCCCGTCCTGCAGGGCGAACCTTTGAATATGATCAAAATAAACACAACAAGAACATCGTGGAGAGGAACAAGACAAACTGAAACACTTTACACATTTATTGGATGTAGAATCCGTCACCTGGAGTTTCTTGAGACAAGTACTTTTATTTCAAGTTTAATGTAAACATGAGTATGCTGTTTGACTTTTTATCATTTGGCTGCAGAGTTTCAGCTCTCACACAAACTATTTTTGTCATTTATCTATTTTTAAGAAGTTTTTCTTCCCTGTACCTTCAATAGCAGAGCTGCGTTACGTAACATTTCAGCCCTGTGGCCTCTCGCTCGCAGCCAGAGGAAGGAGGCCCGGGAGGCTCCAGATGGCCGAGCGCCGGCGGCAGAAGGGGAACCCTCGGGCGGCACAAAGGCCAGACAGCGGGGAGTCGCAGCGAGTCCGTGGCAGACCAACGCTGAACACAATCACATGCTGCTAATACCATGAAAGAGCTGCCCGGGCCTCCGCTGGGCCCGAACAGCCGAGCTGTCCTCGTCAGGAACTGGACAATCCATCAAAACGAAACAATCTGCAGGTTTCAAAACAGTCATCACACAATCAGAAGGTCAACTCACGAAATCCCAACGGTTTATGAATGCTTTCAAACAGTGGGATTATTCAGGTCGTCATCAAAACGACTGCAGATTGAAGATATTTGCACGTTACGTTTACGCAGCGGTTTTATTTCGGCTCCATGTGACTAACAGCCCATCAGTGTTTCAGAACAGCAGCAGGTTTTTAGTCAAATCGTCACGAAGCGTTCAAACGTCTTAACGAGGTCTGAGCTGAGTGTTTTATTATTTTGTTCATTCAACCTTTGTTTAGACAGGTTAATCCCACTGAGCCTCGGGGACTCGTTTACAAGAGAGACCTGATTTTAACAAAGAGTGATGACATCATGTAACAACGACGACAATAGACGGTCACAAACGAGGCGTGCAAGATTTATGCATTTATGTATTTTTTGCTCCACCGTGAAGAACTTTGTTTTTAAATCTAAATATGAACTCCTGCAGCCGTTATTCTGATTTTGCTTTTTGTCCTGTGGAATAAATAAAGTTTATCCAATTAAACGTCATCTTAACGTAAAATAAACATTCACAGTGATTTACATCATTATGATTAAAGAAACAGGAAGCTAAAGGTAAGATCATTTATGTTTCAGGGAGAATTATCGCAAATTAAATACTTTTTTTTTTTAATTGTTCCAAATAAATTGACTGCTCAGAGTTTGCCACAAGGGGTCATCCCTAATCCACGTTTAGTTCAGACAGAGTCAGATTGGATGAGTTCATCTTGAGCTCCCAGCTGTGTTAGTTTATGACAATATTAATTTTTTTAGAATTTACCAAGCCTCGTTTTGTAAAGCAGTTTACTATTTGAAGCCATGTCACTCCTCAGACTGATGAAGTGCTCTGGATAGAGGGTGAAACGTCTCGATAACAAAGAAACTGTCCAGATGACCTGATTGAGAACGATTGGATTTGACACCTGGATGATTGAGCATGAACTTTGTCGTCTGTCATGATGTCTATTTGATGTTTTCTGTAACGTTCTCAGTCTTTGTTGATGAAAGTTTTACAGAAACGGAGGCAGCAGAACAGGAGGTCACAGCCTGGATTTGATGTTTTCCAACAGGTTTGTAATCTTCCCAACGCCGAGAGAAAAAATAAACTTTATTAGGACAAATAGTCTGAGTGTGTTGAACTATTCTGGCTCCAACTCCAAATTCCTGCTGCTTTTTTTCTACACTTTATTCATGTTTAGTTTAAAAATCTGTCCCAAATCATCAGACAAATCAGACTTTGTTTCCTCGTTTTGAGGTTTCATCAAGGTTCTTTATAGTCAACAAAGTCCATGCTCAATAATCCAGGTGTACAATCCAACATCTTTCAGTCAGGTCATCTGGACAGTTTCTTTTTTTGTGCTGAAACGTTTTGCCTTCGATCCAGAAGGCTTCATCAGTCAAGGAAATACACAACAAAACTGATTCTTCCCTCAACAGCTTACTCCAAAGTGGAACAAACCAGGTTTGCTTGTGATAAGATGGTCTCTTTGGTACGCCCCCTCCTCCTTCTTTATTGTCATTCTCATCACATGTGGTACATGAGGTGGAAAGAAATTGTGTACTCAAGGTCCCAGTTATACCTAAAAACAGCAAAAATATAAAATAAAAAAGAAACAGTATACTGTATAAGGATGTATAAGGATATACACTAAACAATAATAATGTAATAGTCTGAAGTGAGCAGATGGGTGTGAATACAGCAGCTTAAGGTAAGAAATCAGCAGCATGGATAATCAGCAGCACAGATAAAGCGACAAATCTCCAATTAAAGTGTCATTACAGTGATGATCCTGGTGAGAGATGAGTCCAACAGCCTCAGGGTAGAAGCTGTTCCTCAGTCTAGTGGTTCTACACTTAATGCTCCTTAACCTCCTTCCTGAGGGGAGCGGGGCAAAAAAATGTGTGTGCTGGGTGAGCGGGGTCCTTCACGATGCAGGGGGCCCTCTTCCTGCATCTGGAGGTGTAGATGTCTGATGGTGGGGAGGCTGACTCCAACATCTTCTGTGCAGCCTTCACCACTCTCTGCAGGGCTGTCCTCTCTCAAGCTGTGCAGCTCTCGTGCCATTTCAGCTCTGACTCCAAATTGTTGCTGCTTTTTTTCTACATTTGATTCCTGTTTAGTATAAAAGTCTGTCCTGCATCATCAGACAAATCAGACCTTGTTTCCTCTCTTTGAGCTTTCATCAGCCTGGAGTTACTTTGGGTAAAAAACTCCTTGTATTCTTCAGATGTGAGGCAGATTTATTAATTCATTCAACCTTTATTTATATAGGTTAGTCTCAGTGAGTCACGAGAACTCATTTATGAGAGAGACCCGTTTTACACAGACAACAATAAACTGCAGTAAAAATGCGCTTAGAATAAAGTAGCGCATAAAACAATAAAACATGGTAAACACTAAAAACAAGACCATGTTTGCTTTGATTTCTCCATTGACATTTTCAGATGTTTAAAATCCCCTTAAAGGAATTAAGATGGACAACTTCAGTTCCTGTTGCAAGGTGTTCCAGGTTCCAGGAGCAGAGTAGGACAAGGCCTTTGCTGCAGGTAATGATGGCCTGAGAGCGCACGCTGTAACTGCACTGACGCCGTATCGTTTTACATTATTAGTGTTTATCGTATGTGTTTGCCGTTCGTTTATCTTACATCCTTATATACTGTTTCTTTTTAAACTTTATATTGTTGCGTGTAACTGGGATCTTGAGTACACAATTTCGTCCCACCTCATGTACCACATGTGATGAGAATGACAATAAACTTGACTTGAACACGAACATGTAAATGGACTGTACTTACACAGGAACCTTTTCAGCTTATTGAGATACTCAACGCTCTTTACCTGTACCCATTCATACAGCACTCTACTAGATATTACAATCAGAGCTTTATCACATTCAAACACCGATGGGACACACATCGGAGGCAATGAGGGGTTCAATGTCTTGCCCGAGGACACTTCAGCACGTGACTGCTGGTGGAATCGAGCTCCCAACTTTCCCACTGGAGGACGACCTCTCTAACCACTCAGCCACAGCCGCCCCGACACATAGGAGGAGGCGAAGGCAAGAGAACAAGGAGTGACGTACAGATGAAGATGAACCAGCGTGAGACGTGTAGATAAAGATGACCAACTGACCAACGAGTACAGGGTGCAGTGCTGGGTACGGTAGTTACAACCAGTTATGAATCTTAGTGCGCCATGGTAGACAGCATCCAACATCTGCAAGCAGCTGGCAGGGGCATTCATGTAAGTACCGTATTTTCTGGCGTATAAGTCACAGTTTTTTTTTTTTTTTTTTTGCATAGATTTGTCAGTCCTGCAACTTTTACGCTGAAGCGACTTGTATACATTTTTTTCAATATTCATAACGCAATTTTTGACTGATGCTTTAAATTTCTAAGAACTGCAACAGCGAGTCCTCCCGTGCACGCTCGCTTCACTCAGCTGGTGCAGGCGGAGGAGCGCCGGAGAGCTAGCGGCTCCGGCCGCGATGGATGGATGGATGGTGCTGTGCCGCCCAGGTGAAACGCAGCTGATTTGACCATTAAATAAACACGACGGGTCAGCGGTGACGCATAATAAATGTGACTTATACGCCGAATTGCTGGCGCCGACTTCCTGTTTGAAAACAACATTCCCTTAGTTTTGGTTTATCATCTGAGGAGGCATCTGCCGGTGGTTCAAAGGTCAAATAAGCTCCAGGTGGAGCACACTTTCTGCTCAAGGTGGTAAAAAGTTGCTCCTGCGATGCACAAACACTAAACACTGATTCTCCTCTTGTCTGTTTTCATCGCACACTGTGCACGGTCCCTCCGACTGATGCATGCTGGGACTTCATTAAAGGCCCTTTCACAGGCTCGGACTGCTTTTGTCTGCAGGTGCTTTCAAATCAAACTTTTTAACAACTTTTTTACGCCATTAGCTACAAATGACTCTGCTTTCAACCTGGCCCACTCAAGACGGGCTCTTTATTTAGTCCATTTCTGTCAGAAAATATAATCTGCACCTATTCCTAATCCCTCCAAGATCAAATCCGTACATCTCTTCACTGAGAAGGATTTTATTTAATTTAACGTTTCTACTCGTCAATGAGCTGCTGGGTTTTTAAAAAAGTAATGTCTGAAGGGCGAGAGACTTTGTTTGTTTTCTTAAATCTGCTTTTATGATTCTAATCGTTTAATTTTTAAACGGACAAATGAGTTGTAGCTGCAAGAGTTTTATTACCGACCAGTGGTTCAGGAGATATTTTGCTAACAGGGATGATGCTCAGCTACTGCCACCTGCAGAACCGACTGATTCATCACCATTTCTATGTTTTCTAAGATCAGGTGGTTGTGGCGGCCATCTTGGTTCAGACGTGCATCTGATTTTCTGAGAGTTTAATTTAAACACAACCTGAGATATTTTGCTAACAAGACAAAAGTTTTGACATCAACTCTGATGCAATCTATTAACGTTAGAGTTTTATTTTATTTATTAATTCAATTAAAAGAAACAAAAGAAATCCATTAAAAATAAAAATAATGAATGAAAAGGGTGCAGAAAGAAGAAAAGTCTTATAATATCTGCCCCTTATTAAAAAAAACAACTACAAACAAACAACAACCTACGCTTGAACAATCTCCAAAGTGAAAACAAACAATATTAGATATCCTTCACATGGCACCATACTTTCCCAACAACTTTAACTTAATCATCTTTTTAAACATATAAATTGTTTTAGAGCTTTTTATGGTGAGATCAAGACAATTCCACAATCCTAATCCCTGAATTACATCACAGCTCCTTCAGATTAGTTCTACATGGAGGTTTTACAAACATTTCCATTCCCTTCAGGTTATAATGACTCTCTTTTTAAATACATTTTAATTTAATAGTTGGGGGTAATATTTTTATGAGCTTTATACATGAATTGTAAAACACTATATTCAACCAAATCATAAAATTTTAATAATTTCAACTGATGTTGGATGACCACAGCACTTCCTACTAATAATTCTTATGGCTCTTTTTTTTGTAAAATAAAAAATAGAGTTTGTAATTGCTTTGCGTGTTTTCCCCCAAACGTTAATACAATAAATTAAATATGGAACAATAATTACATTATACAATATATACAAAGTTTTATCATTCAAAAAATATTTACTTTACACAGTAATGAAATAACATTTTGGGGAGTCGGTATAGCTGACATGGAAATCTCATGTAAATTACTTAACTATGAATTTTAATACAGTCAGTTTTAAATGGGACTTTGATCATTTTCTTGTGTGTAGGAAATGACTCTCAGCTACTACCACACCAACTTTTTAGCTCCATACTCGTAAAACTGGCTGAGACGTTCATGTGTTGGCAGAGATCACTTTTCCACACGCATTTTATTTTATTTTGAAACTATTAACCCGCACTGTTGAGCGTTCAGTTGGGTGCTGCCGTGTCGGACGCTCCAGGTGGCTCCTGAACGCAGCACGGAGCTTTAGCTCTCAGCCTGGAGAACCGAAGGATCCGGATCCAGAGGAACCGAGGAGACCGGAGAGACCGGAGCTGAACAGGTGGTCTGGAAACGCACCAAACAATGTGGTCCGGCGTGGGGGACCCTTAGTCCTGGCTCCTCAGGAGGAGAACCAGGAGAAAACCTCCATGCTGCCGCCGCTCCTGCCTGGCTCCCACTCGGATTTCTGCTCCGCGCCTCCTCGCCTCGGCCGGGCTCCGAACCCGGGGAGCAGGACCTCGGATCCCGAACCATGAAAGTGACGGTGTGTTTCGGCAGGACCCGGGTGGTGGTTCCGTGCGGGGATGGGGATATGAAGGTGCACGCGCTCATCCAGCAGGCTGTCATGAGGTACAAGAAGGCTATCGCCAAGGTGAGTTCAGGGAACTTCTTTTCTTTCCTGGAAACAAATGTTGCAGCAACATGGCGCAAACAAAACTTCCCGCGAAGCGCAGGAGCCGCTTTTTATTTTATGTTAGTGTTGCTTTTTATGTTTTTTGCGCAGCACGTTATAAACCGCGCGCGCACACAAAGCTGCTCGTGCGGCTTCACGGTTTTTCAAAGAAAGGCGCACCGCCATTGTGGCTCTTGTGTTGGCGGAGCCCCCAAACTTCCTCCGGGATTCTCCCTGTGGCTCGCAGCAGAGCAGCGGCCCGCACAGGGGCGCAACTTCACCGACGCGATGCAAAGTTGCTCGTAATGTTGCGCACGAGCGGTTGGCGGCACACTTTGAAGTAGCAAGTTAGCCAAAGTGGGACCAGTGAGGCGTTTAGGGTCCAGTCCAGGGCGGCTGGAGATCCAGTGATGCACCAGAACAGGCTGAAGGAGTGAACTGTGAGGAGCAGGACTCAGTAAAGGTGCAGAAAGAGTGAGGGGTCTGGTGCAGGGACGAGCTCCTGGCGCGTGCATGGACCAATGCATAAATCCTGCACACAAAACCAACATGGAGGAGCCTGAGGCAGATGACCTTTGACCTCGCTCAGATGGGCCTGCAGGGTTTCCCCTCACAGATAGTGTGGAGGAACTTGGAGGTGACGTCACATTAATGTTCAGATTTACAGCTTTTCTGTGCCATGCTGGTAGAGGAGGTGATGGTTTCTGCACATGGGGTCACTGACAGATCACCATTTTAAAATGTTTTAGCTCCTCCGTTGCTTTATGTGCAAATTAAATGGCAGCCTCTTGCTGCAGTGATCCTCCTCTTCTGTGAATAATTCAATGTGAGCAGGCCGATCCGGGCCGGAGAACGTCTCTGAAGCGCTGAGAGGCAGGTTGCATGTTGGGAAGGTGCCTTTTTTTTTTGACTTTATGACCTGCTTCTGTTCTAGTTGTAAAAGCCGACAGGATAAAGTTGTTTTTTCAAGGATGGGATGAAAATAGACGGCAAACAGGCTGATATAACTGATTTATCTACTTGTTTATATAGCGCCAAGTCACATTAAACTGAGGTCAAATGCACTCCTACGGTATAAGTTCAAACACAAAACGGTTGTCTTGAACTTTATTAAACAGCACAGTAAATGCAGGTATGCACTCGGTGTAAACAAAGCCCCCAAAGCCACGTGGAAGCTCCAGGCTGACCTACTTTAGGTCGTCCAAGTCCGTGCCGGTAAACAAATCTGGTGGAACCGAACAGGCGTGGTGGAAACACGGGCGACTCTGCCGCCGAGCGTCAAAGAAACGGGACAGACGGAGCGAGCGCGCTGAATAAACATCGGGGGTCGAGCGCGGCAGCCACAAAACCACCCGTAAGAGCACCGACGTTTACCCACTCACTCGCCGAACTTGTTGGACGCGTCCATATTCGTCTCTTCGGCTGTTTCTGCAGCTAAACAAACTTGATAAAGTAAAATAAAAACCACTTTAACCACTGAGATGAGTGAAATAGGGTGCGGGTTCTGGTACTGCGCGGTGTTTTTTTTGGTTTCGTGGCGTTGCGATGAGACGGACGAGCTGTTAGACGAGCACGTTTTGTCTTCGGCTGTAATCATGTCATTGAACAGAAATCAGAAATATCATCAGTAACTCCTGAAATCATCCCTCTGGAGGGTTTCTGGTCCCACTGCGAGCAGATCCAGAACTTACTGGAATGATTATAGATCTTCTCGGGTACCGGGGACACCTGTGGACCCCCTCCAGGAGACGCTGGAGAGTGACCGGACCATTCTTCTGTAAACGTGAAGCTCCTCTTTAGAGACGTTTGCAACAGACTTCTTGAGTTTCTCCTTCTCTACGAAGGTTCACCGGTACACCAAAGTGATCCGGACACAAGAACAGTAAACCATAAACTAGAAATAAGGCCAAACAAACACGACTTGCTTAAAAGAAAACATCTGGTAGGAGTTTGTTGCAACACAAGAGTTATGATTAAAACATTAGAATAGTCAAAACAGTCAAAACACGGATTTAAGACATCAAGGTGGTTTGATTAAAAACAATAACCTAATTGGAGAAAAAAGGTTTAAAGCTTAGAAATAGACATTTAGGATATTCATGTCGTGGATGAAGTCTAAGTTTGAAAACCTGTAGAATAAATCTGTAGAACATACGTGTCAAACTCAAGGCCCGGGGGCCAAATGTGGCCCTCGTTGACATATTATCTGGCCCTCAAGACGATACGTGAAATGTAAAATACTTCTTTCTCTTGATTTTTTTCAGTAATCTTTGATTAGGATTTTTGAAAGCACAACAGAGAACATCAAACGAGACCAATCAAACTCTTGTTGAGGAACCTGTGATTAAGAAAAATGTTGCGGATCTGATTCGAGTTCATGCGGTTTCTGAAATTGGCCCTTAGTTTGAAAAAGGTTTTAATTTTGGCAGGGGGTGCACCTCTCTAAAAAGTCTGACCTGCCGATTCCTATTTAGTTTTATAAGTGACGCTGTCGGGTGTTATAAGGTCACGATGCACCTTCAAATTCCCAGTCTTGTTTAATTGAAAACAGACCCTTTAACAATATCCTAAAAACAATATAAACTTGTTTCAACTGGCCGTGAGGTAGTGCTCTGAAATATAAGTTCAGACCATAAAAAAAATCAGTGAAATCGGTTTCTCATGCACGTATCGGCCGATTACCAAAATTTTTGTGCCCCCTTTTGTAAGCGAGTTGGACACCGTCGCTGCAGAAGCTCGGACAAATGCACCGTACTTGCCGCCGTACACGTTGCACCACCGTATCAGCTGCGTCTATCACGCGTCGCCTCTGACATCCAGGAAACGTGGGTCGGTGCGTCAAAAGTCGAATGGCTGCCAAATGGTGGGAGCGTGCACGGGAGGGCTTCAACAAAAAAGCTTAACACTTAAAAACAATTATTTGTTTGCTCAAAATTATACCAGTTGAACTTTTACTTAATAAATGCACTTTAACGGTCAAATCGGATTCATTTCGCCGGGGCGGCGCGGTGAAATGAATCCGATTTGACGGTTGCTCCAGGCGAGCTGGGATTCTGTGGCAAGCCGATTGTGTCATTAATAGCCACTTTTACCTATTACATGACACAACGGCATGCCGTACTGCTCAAGTCCCATTTACCAGCTGAAAATGGTTGTGTTCAATATTTTCAGTCGGAATGAATAAAAACGCATCGCGCCCCTATCGCGCGGCCCCCTGGTGGGGTGTGCCCTTGCCTGCCGGCGCGCTTGGGGCCCTTGGTGTCGGGGGCTGGGCGCTTGGGCGTGTGCCGGCTCGGCCTGGTGTCTGCCTGGTGGGGCTCGGGTCCTCTGGCCCTGTCGGGCCTTGGCCTGGGTGGTGTGTGTCCTCGGTGCCCGGGCCTCGGTGCCCGGGCCTGGAACTGCATCGGTGCGGCGGGTTCCGGCGGAGGCCTATGAGTTTGTCGCTGTTGGCCCCGGGGGGTCAATGCATGTGGTCGCTGGTGGGGATCTTCTGGTTCTCCCCTGTGGTCCGATCTGGGGGGTGGGTGAGTGGTTCGTCCTGTGTGAGTGGCCCTGGGGGCTCCGCGGTCGGGGTCCCTCCTGGGGTCTTGGGCTCTGGTCCCCCCTTTTTCGTCTGCCTCTGGTCTTGGGGGTCGGTCTCTGCTGCTTCACAGTTACTAATAAATGTTCTATTAGAGAAGCCTTATACACTTATGCATGCTCACAACCACACACAAATAGAAGCAGGGATGCTTATGTAGGCTTTATATATAGATATATAGATATGTATGTGAATGTATATTCATGTGTATGTATGTATGTATATAGGCATAGGTATGTGTATATATATTTATGGAAACTTACTGCAAAGCCATGAATATTTTAAGTTCTTTATACATATGTATTTTGTTGCTGTGTTTTGTCATGTTCTTTGCAGGTGAACAGACAGCGGCCGGGTGTTTTGCCGTGTGCTCTATTTGTGTATATTTCTTATATTTTGGAGTCTTACTTTGTCTTTTCTTTCTTTCTATCCTATTAAAAAATAAATAAATAAAAAAGAATGAATGAAAACGATCATATCTCAGCCAAAAGTTGGCTTATAAATACGGGAAAAAACATAAATATGTTGCAGGGCACGCAAATTATGCAAAAAAACTACGACTTAATAGGCCCAAAAAATTATACGGTATGTCGTGTATTAAATTTGAAAACCTGTACAATAAATCTCTAGGAGCGCAGATAAACGTCGTGTTTGTCTGGAGAGCCCAACTTTGCTGCTGTTTAACGCAGAGGGCGACGCGTTGAGAGAACGAGGCCTCTGAGGCTTTCGGTCACATAAAAACAGAAACTGCGCTCGTCACGAACACGACAGGACTCCCTGCTTCAAAACCCGACACCCTTGTCATTTATTCCTCTTATAGCTGTGTTTATTGCTCCACTTCCACCCAGCCCATTTCATTCGACCACAGTTGAGCATTTTCACTCCTCAGGAAGTCTTTGGGCGCAGATGTTGTTGAAGATCACAGTTTTTTTTTTTTTTGAGGGTCTGTCTGACTTAATAGGAGGACCAAATTTAGGTTGGGTGTTTTCTCCTGCCTCAGTGTTTCTATGGACCTTCTTGCGACTTCCCCTGTTATTAGAGAGGAATGTTTTCTGCAGGAAAGACCACAAAAATTAAGTCCACTTCTGAGGACATTAAGCCATTTCATAATAACCATGGGATTAAAAAGATGTGGATGCAGCTTGTAGAAATGAGACCAAACGGCTTCAGGAAAATAACACTAGATTATATTCTACTCGTTTTTATTTATTTTTCCCCACACATCATTGTAACTATTTAACAGTTAGTCCAACAAGCTCTTAAAAGGACCATCTGGAGGAAAACTACTTCAAGGCTTTAAGTCCTCCATGACGTGTGTGCGTTTGCACGATAGTGAGATTTGGCTTCATTTCTCCAACTTCTCCCAAAAGTCGGAAGCCTCCTGTGGGATACGAGGTGT